CTGCTGAAAATGCAAACAATTATCCCGTATGAAATTGTGAAATAACAGCCTTATTGATTATGGAAAATTAGTAAACCAAGGACAATATAGATTCATTACAATGTAAAAATAATCAAGAATATTTGCCTCTCTATACAAAAAGATATTAATGTGAAATATTATAAACTATAATAATTTATTACAATTGTGCTCATTTAAAATTTATGTTCCCAGAAATGTACCTATACATCTATTTGCATTAGCTATTAAATCATTCAGACTATGGATTCTCTTAAATGATAAGCAGCTTTGTGTCTGGATAGTGTCTAGCATCACAGGGCCTCAGTCCATGAATAGAAGCACTAAGTAAAATTGTAATAAACATAGCAGTATTAAAATGATAACCCTTACATGAGCTTCTGCTCTGCAGAACCACTGCAAAATCTGTACGATGATTTGCTTGGCAATACAAAGATGCTGAAATAACAATGGGCCACAATCAGCCAGTTCTCTAATATCCTTGAAGAAGTTATTGCTGCTAGAGATTAAATGAGTTAGGAAACTGAATGGCTGCTACTCAGGAAATGAAAAGATATAAAAATGTGTTTTCTAATATAAGCAAAGCAGATATATAGGCACAGTCTTTGCATCTCTACAATGGGCATTTAAAGGCCTTTTCTAGAAAATGTGCATCCTCATGCCAGTATAGGGTGTCCTGTGTCTCTGAACCAATACTGGTACATCAGAAAACATTTTTTGTGCCAAATGTGTTTTGTAGATCCTTTACTCACATTTATGGAACAGCCATATTTGATGAGGGTTTGTAGTTTTCATACACAGTTTCTGTGAGAATGAATAGCAGGTGGTTTTCATTCTTAAATGCTTGAGTTGTCAAAGCAGCGTCTAATTCACAGTCATTTTTATGGAAGTTGCGTCAATGGCATGGGTAAAATCTTAGCCCCATGGAAAACTGAGGAGCCGTGGGCCGCGGCTGGCACTCTGGGGCATCTCTTGGACACCATACAAGGACCTGTGCTGCCAGGTGTCTTGCAGTAGATTGTGTCAGTACCTGGAGTTGTAAATTAAGTAGCAGAAAATGGCACAGAGAGAATTGACCCAGCTGGGAGCCTCATTCATCAGTGATTTGTTTTCATGGGAAAAAACAACCCGTACAAACCTTATAGGGAAAATACATTTACTTTCTTAAATGTATCTGTATTTGTTTTCATTGCCTATGTAAAGATCCATTTCTTTCCTGTACAGGACTGAGATGTTGGCTTCATTCACTAGGATCCTGGTCAGGCAGTCCACAGGTATACTGATGTGTTGTGCAGATGAGTTATTTTACTTGCTAGTCTTAAAGGTACTGCATTTCAGTTTGCCCTTTTCTCTGTTACTTGAGAAAATGGAGGAATTGGTGGAGGTTGACTGTCCTGCTTTATGCCCTGCTCTCCTTTGTCTAATTGTCTTTTCAGGGGTTTTTTTTGCCTTCTGGACCATTTCTGTTTGAGCTCTGTGTTTTGAGGCAGCCAGAGCAGAAATAAAGTATCCCAGAACACAGCAAAACTTTTCTCTTTTTGTATTTTAATTTTTACAGTGTCATTCCTGTATTTACACTTTGTATTCCAGTTTTGGACACCTTAATACTGCCTTTTCTTCATTAGAAGTGAGCTGAGATCTTAAACTGCTTTCCATCCCTGACCATTTAGGTGTAGCTTACAACTTTGCTCTGAGAAAGAAGTAGCCAGTTGTACCAGCGTCTCCAGTGTTTCCCTCATTTGATCCCATGCAGGTGCCTACAGCAAGAATATGACTCCAGTCTGCCTACTGCTAGTGTCATCATCTGTTTCCATGACGAAGCCTGGTCTACTCTGCTGCGAACCGTGCACAGCATTATGGACACAGCCCCAAAGGCCTCCCTCAAGGATATCATCCTAGTCGACGATCTCAGCCAGCAAGGTAGCTCCCATTTCTCTGTATGTGAACTCTTTTTTTTTGGAGCTTCAGGGAAGAAACTGTCCTCCTCCAAGAAGTGCACGAGGAGAGCAGAAGGCAAAGAGGACCCTCAGGAAGAGAGCTAAGCAGAGCCCTGAGCTGGCCGCCAGGTTTCACTCTCCCATCCCTAGAATTCAGCTTAGCCTTTCAACTTTGAAATATGTTTCTCTTTTCTCCATCATTTCCAATCATTCCGAACATTCTTACTTTCAAATAAGATCACAGTATGCAAATCTTAGCCTTCCCACTGGACCAGTTCTGCTGTAATAATTTCCAGGCTTGGACTTTGGCTGAAGCGTAGAGTGAAAAACTCCACGTTGCTAAAGTAATCCAAAGCACTTGGGAAAGCCAAACACCTGTAGTATCTCACTCTGATCTGCGCCTTTTATGAGATGATGAGAGCATCCACCTTTTGCTGAAAATGGGAGAGAAGGCTATTAAGTTTCCCACAGGAATAGCTTCACACCTAATGAATCTCAGTTTCCATTAGTCCCTATTTCTCTTTGACTCTTATGCTGCTGTGGGAATATTTGGAACACGGCCTACTTGGCCATGTAAAACACATGCCCCCAAAACATTTTGCCAGCAAGAAGTAGCATCTCCTACTACCTGTTGCTTTTCTATAACAGTTTGAATCAAAGCTAAACCATTTCAGTGACCGTTCTGTTTCTGACAGGTCCCCTGAAGTCAGCTCTGAGTGAATACATCTCTAAACTGGATGGTGTGAAACTCATCCGGAGCAACAAGAGGCTTGGGGTCATCCGAGGTCGGATGCTAGGAGCTGCACGGGCAACTGGGGACGTGCTCGTCTTCATGGATTCGCACTGCGAGTGTCAGAAGGGCTGGCTGGAACCCCTCCTAGCCAGGCTGTCCAGCAACCGGTAAATATCCCCGTGACCTCTGAGCTCCCTCCATATGCTAATTTTTGCTGAAACAGACGTACTTGGAAAGATTTGGGTATTTTTTTTTAATCCTCTCTTTGTTACCTTCTTCCTTCTGGTCACATTGCTTTTATTTTCTACCTTATCACCACACGCATCACTCTGATACGTGGGAAGCAAGATAGGTCATACAGCTGACAACCCTCACTTCACACACAGTATCACTGAACTGTCAGAGTTAGTATCCAGTCAGAGCTATAAGAAGGCTTCCTGGTGGTCTGAATTAAAAAGGTTGCAGTCTCAAGCTGTTTGGAAATTGGCAAACATCCACCAGAGAAACTACTGCAAGACTCCATTATTTTTACTTTTTAGCTGTCTCAGTCATGAAGCCAAGGATAAAATGCTTTGTCCTCCTGAGCCAGTTTGGCTACATACCACTGTCACCTGTAGTGTCTCTGTTCCACAGAAAAAAAACAGACTTTCTGGGCAGCCTAGACAGTTCTAGCTAGTTACAGGTACTTTCACTGACACCAAACTGACAGGGGAAGATACCAATTCTTATTTTCTGAGTCTTTCATGTTGAGGTTGGTGCTTGGGCCTGCTCTCTATTGTACAGCTGAGCTCATCTATGCAGTCCCCAAGTCCTTCAAAGAGATTAAGTCACTGAAAATGTTTCAAGAATTACATGGCAGTAAATCCTTTATTAAAGGGACTTTTCTGAACGAATAAATTGTACATTAACTTGTCTATCATTACCCATGAGCCACTTGGGAAAAAAAGAATAAATGTTTGAGGGGGTAAAAGAAAAAATGCATCTTTAAAACTCTTACCAGGCTGTTAAATAGTCATACTAAAGACCTTCAAAGGCTGTTCCCAAGCACTGGAACAAGCTACTTTTATGGCTGATTATGTTTGCTTATAAGAGAATTTATTTGAATTCTTAGAAATGATTACATCATTTGGATGAAACATTAAAAACACTGCAAGCAAGAGTAATGCTGCCCTAGGATGAGAGGACTATTTTTTTCTAAAAGATCTTCCTTGGAAAAGCAGATATTTTTTTGTCTGCTGACTTATTAGATGGTTTATTATGAATATACCTCATGATTCTTCTGCCTTGAGCTATAGTCTATTACTGATGTTCATGCAAAACTCCTATCTGTATCAATCGGCCAGTCCTTATTCAAGGTAGTATTGCTGAAATTAAAAGCGTTACAAAAAGTCTCAGAGGAGAGCTATAGTGAAGGGGGAGTTACAATGGCAAGAGAGAAGTTAGGACCCCACCACAATTGTAGTGATTCACTGTCAAAAATTATCCCTGCTTATGGAATGCAAAGCCACCAAACCTACTATAGCTCTGAGATTTATGTAGCACTGTCACCAGGGGGTGAGAAAGGGATTCTCTTCCCCTATAGGGCTCATACGCTCATTCATTCCTCTGGGAGGGCCGAATTTAACACTGAGTTAGCTAATGGCTAATTGGATCCATGGAGCAAAGGTAGAAGGATGTTTGGATAATAGTATGGTCTAAACCATCCCTTTTTGTATGCTGTATCAGTCACCGTGTCTGACCCTGGAAGCTTTATCGCTTCTAGCGTGGAGAACCTGTGCCATCTCCAGTGCACAGGGAAGACATGCTCTAAGGCATCTGGCAATCACTTTCTCTCAGTGTCCTTCTTTCCCCAGCTGAAGAATGGTGATAATAACATTGACCTGATAAGGAAGTTAATTCATGATTTTTCCCCAAATTGCTTGTAATTCTTGCATGGAGATCACTATGGAAATGTAAAGCATTAGCATAGTCAACTTGGCTTCATTTAGCAGTTGAGGAGCTGTTAAATTGAATCATGTGCACTCCCTGAGACTACCCAAATGAGGAAAGTACAGTGAAAAAAAAAAGCTTACAGTGACTGGTGAAATATCCATCATTCCTCTTCTTAATGTACCAATCAAGCTGCAACTCATGCACTTTTGCTGGAGAGACAGGATGGGAAAACACTTAATCACCTTGAGTGAGAGATGGAGTTGTTTGCTGGCAAGGAAAAATGCAGCCTTTCCAAAACTCAAACCTTTGCAGGAGCTTAGTGGAGCTGGAGGGAGATTTTAACTTTGTAAACTGTGAATAAGCTTAATTTTCTAGGCTCCTAATCAGACCTACCACTATTGTTGTGACCTGTCTTAGAGCGATGCCGAGAGATCCTTGATCAAACTGAGACCTCACTGTGAGCTGAACATACTCACAAAAAGGGAGATATCCCCAGTTCTGAGTAGTCTGTGGTTATGATAGCACAAACACGAGAAAAATTACTCCAGTTTTACAGATATGGGAATACTTGACAGATATTTGACTTGCTCTGAGTGATGACATTTCATTTTGACTTGCTCTAGGTGATGGTTTTATTCACTAATCCAATCAAAATTATTTTCCCAAAAAGTATTCAGTCTTTCTAAAATCACTACACATGCATTTATGGGCACCTTGAGTGGAACTAGATCTGTGAACCATACCTAACAAATTGACTGGGAACTGTGCATCAGCTTAGTATATCACCTAGAGAATGGTTCAGTGGTTGGAAAGCATCCCTTGACATTTTGATTATTCAAGGATGAATACTGTAGGCACCTGGACAACATTAGAAAACTAGATGAGATGCCCCACAGATCATTTCATTTGACAACTGTTTGTGTTCCAGGATAATTCCAGGTGAGTAGCATGGTGCATAGTAATGCAGCTGTGCAATTATTACAGTCGTCTTTTGAGGGGTTTGCCTTTTCCAGGAGACTGCAGCAGACTGCTGCTATTTTGTATTCAGTCCAAAGGCAGTGAAAGGCAGAGGGAGCATATAATGAACTGTGCCACGAAGCCTTGAAAAGGTTGTTCCTTTAACCTAAAAACAGTGACTATCATGCCGAAGAGGGATGATTTAAAAAAAAAAAAAAAAGAAAAAAGAAAAAAGATCCCAAGTGTGGTGTGGACTTGATTATATCCTAGACAAGGAATTCCACCTCTAAAAAATGCAGGGGCACCATAACTGTGGCAGATGGGTGGCTTGCAAAGGGGTGGCTTGCCCTTAGGACCTTTCCCCTGCTCCTCGTTGCAAGGGCCGTTTCACTCTGTGCTCGCGCACTGCCTGTGCCATAGCTCAAATATCATGTCAGGAAACAGAAGCCTGTGATATTATTAAAAGAAGCCTATCTAGTGTCGAAAATTCAAAGTGCCTCTATTCAGCACCATGATTGTAGCTCACTAATCTTTAATGAAAATGCTGTTAAACAGAACAAGAAGTGAACATAGCACTGGAAGGTATCTCATCTGCGGTTTGCTCCCATTCAGGAGTGAATGGGAGCTGCTAGTTGCAGATACAGAGAGAGAGAGAGTTCTGGTCTCTAGAAAAGTCCTGTGTGGTTCTAGTTTTATGGTAATACACTAGAGAGAAGGGAGATATTTTGCACTAAAGTTGAACAGCTCCTTCATCTCTTTTCATCTGATTCTCCACTTCTCAGTGGCCCATACCCCAGTTTTTTGAGCTACCAAATACATAAGCCATCTGTTTTCTACCTTCTCACAGGCTCAGGGAAGCATGATGTTATTCATCCAGAGCCCACACAACTCAGCATCTGAGCATGCATTTCCGTGCTACTTTCCTTGTTTTGAAAACCTTCCATATACTTCACATATAACAGCCTGTTTCCTGGGACTTCTCTTTTTGCCTGATCCTTTTATATCCCCCATTTGTTGGTCACACTGGATTTCAAATCCAGTAAATTAATGTTCTGCATTTACATGGTATGTTATGTGAAGATATGCTATCTCTTTACAATCTTTCACAGCTGATCAGGATCAGTAGGTGACCTATTTTAAAAAAGTTGAAGTAAAGAAACAGAATATGAGAATCTGAAGTCAAAAGCAAATATTACTGCCAAAAGTAGGAGCAATGAGGATTTAGGCATGATTCATGGCACAGTGCCCTGGTTGTCCAGTGTAGAAAGGTATTGGTTGCTCCTACAGATTTTGGTACCCCACATACAAATTTGAATATTTTAACAAAAAAAGACAGGTTCAAAAGATTTTCTTTTTTTTTTAAGTAAAGCATTCCCTCAGCACTCTACCTAGCAGAGATTTGAAGTATATGTTTAGTGTTAGCATATGAGTAGTCCATCAGTTCAAGGAGACTCTTCATATGCCCTAAGTTAGTCTGGAGTTGGTCTGTAAGGCAGTATTTAAGTAATCCTTTATACCGTACCTTTACCATTCCTGATCACTGCATTTTATCTTTTTGTTAACCTTATCTGATTTTGAATGTTTTGCGGTACTATTTCTCTGAAGATTTCGGCCAGTCAGCAAGTGCTTTCAGTGAAAATGCAGCGTGCTGTGGAACTGGCCTGGGTTCTCAGTTACTTACTGAAGTTTTGACTATGTGCAGAGCCAGAGAACTTGAACTGCCTGGATTTCCCAGCTATCTAACTTTTGCAGGGAATGATCCACTCTGAAACTAGTTGAGGAAAATACATCATTTTCATGTTTGGATGGTGGTTTGTTTTTTTGTTTTTTTTTTTTTGTTCCTCCTTATTTAAAAGGGGATTTAAACAGATTAAAATCTCTTCCCTTCCCAGCAAAACAAAGTATAAATCAATAAAAAGCACTTTCAAAAAACAGTGTATCTAAAACTTCAAAACAGATGTGTTAATTAAATCTTCCTCTCCTTATGTTACTTATTCTAAAAATAGAAAAGAACATAATGTCCATGGTAACTGTAAAGGGTCATGAGAAGACATTTCATTCTCGATTGTATTTGGTTGAGAAATCCCAAACCAGGAAATTGTTCTTGTTTGGGTTGCTCTTTTTCATGGAATTGTGACCTTTTGTAGTTCATGTGTGTTCCAAGCATTTGAAATATTCACAAATTAGTCAAACAGTTCAAAGCCTTGCTGCTAGTTGTATTTGAATTTCCTGTTTTTTTCCTTGCCTTGGATTCCACAGAGTAAAATTAGCAGTAGTTTGCCAGTGTGTGTTTCATTTCAAAGTGCCGAGAAGCTGCTGACTGTCTGCCAGTTACCCGGTTAAAAACAGAGAGAATAGCTAAGAACATTTTCCAACTTTCAATTACCTTCTGCTGCAAATTTGCATTTAGAACCACACAACATCAAACCATCATTGCATATGCAGATCTTTTATTTTAAAAAGCATTAATACCAAAAGATATGTAAAGCACTGCTTGATTAAGATTAAAATTGGACATTGACCAGTTTTCACACAAGATAAAGTTACTGGATTCCTCTAGTTCAGATCAGAAAGACACTCCCAATATTTCAAGTTTTAAGAAGGTTTGTTTCCACTGGTTTCAGCAGAGCTACACCAGTTTATGCTGGGTGAAGATCTAGCATTACACTTCCAAACATACTCTTGAAAACTATTAATCTTGGCATTCTGAAAGAGCTACTAGAGTAATAGCTCTAAACCACAGTTATCAGTTTGTACTGTATAATTTTGTGGGAAAGGAGATTAGATTTTATTTTGTTCAGGTTTATCATCGAATTTAGCCAGGGTAGAATGTGACCTATCTGGTGAGTTTTTTCAGCTATCTTAAACACTGTAATTTTCCATGTCGTAATTTGCAGATAGTTTGGCTAATTGCTTGGTCTCCAAACCATCAGAATCCATCACATCACTGCAGGTATTTTTCTGGAATAGCATTGAAGGATCAATGCCCAATAGCAAGCAAAACAAAAGCATCCATTAAAAATAAAGGATTATTTTGACAAGAACTACTGCTGTGGTGCTTACTCTTATGAGCGGTTGCACTGATGCTAGCAGCATCATTGGAGTTTGGAGTTTTATAGTGGCAACGGATTTAAGGTGGATCTAAAAAGAAGGACAGGTTTTAAATGGTTGGATATGAAAATGTAGGATAGTCTGAAATGTCTGGATCATCTGATCCAGAATATATTGAGTGTAACTCTGAGTATCCACATTGTCTCTGTCTAACCTATCCTGGATATGCATACGTGGTCTAGTCTTTATGGTCAAGGTTTTCTGAATGGTTTAGTCTATATTGCCTCCTCTGGCTTCCACTCAAATACGCCCCCTTCTTGACTCTGAAGTTGTAAAATAAACTACCCTGGGGTCATTAGTTTCTCAGTCCTGTCTGAATGAGAATGGATAGTCAAGTAGCAATAGATAGCATGCATTTCAGCAAGTAGCAACAAGCTGAGGTACAACTCCAACTACGCTCCTAACCAGACAGTTGTCAGAGATGCTCATACACTGGAGAATGCAGCAGGCTGTAGAAATTACAATTACAGTGACTTTTCTTTTCTTTTTTTTTTTTTTTCAAGTTTAGTCATATGAAATCCATTTAACTTGTTAGCTGGATTTTTCTCAGCCTATCAAAGAAAAAACATGCGCTTGCATGAGTCCATCAGGACACTAACTTTTAGTAACTTCTAGAAGCAGTTAGCTTACTTTTCATGCTGTTAGCAAGTAAAGGTTAAATACAGCTTTCAGTAGAAAGGCTCCTGCTGGCTTGCATTTGAGGTGGTTGCTCCTATCCTGAATACCAAACTATATCAGAGGGGTATCATCAAGAGAATCAGCAGAAGATATCAGCTTTATTATTTTTAGTATCATTTCTTTCCATTTCTTCTTGAGTCCTGTGGGACAATGACAGCAAATCACTGCCTCAATTTATATGCCTACAAATGTTGTGGGTGACCATAACATTTTCTCATCTATTTATAAATGTTGTTTTAATGCTTGTTTTTAAGAGTGCCTATTGTCACATATTACAAAGGCTGCTTTTACACCTGAATGGAGAAATATAATCACTTCTCTATTTTAAATCTTTCTGCCTTTAGCTCATCATAGGACAGTCTGCTTTTATTAGGAAACAAAGGAATAACTGAGTCATTTTAATGCTATCCTCTGCACAGTCCATCTTCATACAATTCACTGACAATCAGTAGTCTCTGTTTCTTCACGGGCTTCTAAAATTCTCTACAGGAAATGGCAACTGTGATAAAACAAAATTTGGAGTTTCCTCCCACCCCAATACTGAAAAAAGACATTACTCTTGTGATTGAGAAGGCAGAGAAAATACATCAAGATTACATTGACATCACTCGGAGCTACCATCTTCCTCAGCTGGTTCTGGTCTCTGCCATGGATAACTACAAAGGGCTCACTGCGTTGGAGTTGTCTGAGATGACCTTCATTGATAATATTATGTTTTAAGCATATTTCTATCAAGAGTGATATCTGACTAAAATATAAATCTTCAAAAGAGGATATAAAACCTTCTACTTTTTACCCCAAAATTGACCATTTCATTTTTCTCTCTCAGTTTCAACAGGAAGTTATTTTCTAGGGA